CGCCTGGCACAGGGCTTTACGTGCTGCGATGCGTCTCTGAATTCAACCAAACCCCCTCTTCCGCCTACACCCCAGTGATCTGCAGGGGGCGGGCTGCCCAGGGAGGGCCCGGAGCTCACGCACAGGGGTGTGTGAGCGGGTGCTGAAGTGCATGCTCCTTTCCATTAAAGCAACCTACTTGCCACATATTCAATTTGAAATAAAAATTAAGCCCTGAACAGGTGCTCAGTTGTTAGAGCGTCATCCCGATACACCAAAGGTGAGGGGTCAATCCCGGCCAGGGCACATGTAAGAAACAACCAACAAATGCATCAGTAAGTGGAACAACAAATCGATGTCTGTCTGTCTGTCTCTCTCTCTCCCCCCCCCCCGTCCCTCCCTCCCTAAAATCAAATTTAAAAGTTTAAGAAATTTTTTAGACTATATATAAATAAAAATTAACTTAAAAAGGGAAAAGGTTTCTTCTCACTTTTACCTCACCTAAATATACTCCATTCCCACACACATTTCCAGGCAAGAGAAGTGTCTCTGTATTTCCAAGATGCCCCAGGTTCACATTTTGACTCAAACCTACGCTACCGACCCCAGAAAAGAAATCATTCTTCCATAAATTATTTATCCAAAGTCCCTGGCGGTCATATCGGGCTGCTTTAATAAAGTGTAAATGAAAACTGAACGTTTTACATTATTTACATCTGCACACGAGCTACCGAGTCCTCACAGAGGCGGCCCCTTCCTCGGTGCTTACAACGTGGGTGAAATTCTCCAACCCGCTTCAGCGCCTGCTCCTCGTCGGTCCCCAGACCGTGACCACGGGGCGCTCCCCGCTGCCTGGGCAGCCCTGCCCTCCGCAAAGCCAGGGAGGGAAGAGGCGAATGCAGGCACGGCTGGACGTGAACAGCCCTCCCCCGCCCTTCGCGGCAGACCCGCCTCCCCGCAGCAGACCCGCCTCCCCGCACCAGCGTCGCCACAGCGGGCGCGGGAAGGGTATGACGATCCGCGTATTTGATTTTGCACACTTTGCGGCCAAAAAAATGTGAGCCAAGTTATAAAGAGTAAGCCTGCATGTGGATTACAGGCCCTCTTCCCAAACCTGAGAACTGTCCTTTCTGGAGAGTCGGGCCTTAGCGGCAGCTGAATCAGACACAGAGAAATCTTTGAAAGGTTCCCTTTTCATGGGACCTTTTGTCCCACAAGTGGGTTAGATTATACTCTGATTTTAATTCTGCTCTGTGAAATCATAACCCAGGGATATAACGCATGCTCTCTTATCGGCCACATTTTAGTAAAGCTGCTCAGGCCTCTGTACTAACATGGTAAGTTCTATTTATAAAGCGAGCAGAGCATTCAGACTTGCACGTCTAACAAAGAGCCTTCCTTCCCTCCTGAGGCCACTGGGCGAAATTTTCTCCGCCGGCTTCTCGGGAGGCTGCCCGCTGAAGCCTGGGCACTATCGTCCCGAATGACAATCTGCACGAAACACAGCTCTCACCGGAACGCCCACAGCCTCCTGTTTAAGGCGTCTACTTCCAGATTCAGAAAATAACAGCTGCATTTCCGAGGTGACCAAGGAAGCCAGACAGGCAGCCCTGCATTCAGCACTGGGCAGATAAGGACACAGGCCCGGGGCTGTCTGGGGGCTGGGTGATCATGTGTCCCCTCTCCTTGGAGACAGACAGGTACGTTATGATAGGACGGCCGAGATTGTCCTCGCCACAAGCCGCCCTCCATGGCCAGAGCCCAGGTCCCTACCTCATGCCCTTCCCGGGGCTTTGCAGCCCCTCCCGTTCTCCGGAAGAAGGGGCGCTGACACGTCAGGGACTCCAGTGTTTCTGTCCTCGGCCCTTTCTGCTGTCACCCGGGCCCCGCCGATGGCGTTCAGACCTTGATGTCTTCTCTTTCTTTCTCCCCAGACTTCTCACCATTCTCACTGCACTGCCGTTACTTTGGGGGAAACTGCCCCACAGAAGAACTTCACGTTTACGGGATAGCCCTGAAATTCCTTACAGTCAACGTAACCGAAACGGAACGCCTGGTCCTCGCGCCGAGGCCGGCGCTTGCACCCCTTGCCCTGTGAAAGGTTCCCTTTCAAAGGCTTCAGGTAACGGCTCCGGCAGGCTCGCCGCGATCCCCGCTGCCGTGGGGACTGCTTCCACCCCTCCTGCTCCTCAGCACCCCACCCTCCCGCCCGCCTGACCTGCTGCCAAGCCCACGGATTCGGGCCCCTCCTCGCCACCGCCACCACTGCCACCAACCCTAACCGAGGCCTTGATTTCTTCACCCCAAACATCCTAACATTCTTCTAAGTGGGCTTCTACCTCTTGTTGAATCCATCTAGGGTATTAATACGTTGAGAAAGGATAAATGTCCTCCAGCACCAGAGAGCTTGGCTACCTATTCCAGCCCCACTACCTCGTACTTCCGTGGCTTTGGGCAAGGCCCCTCGTCACATGCACATGAAGCATGATCATCGTACCTGCCTCCTGGGGCTGCAGTGCAAGTGAAGCACCTACGACGGACAGCAGCTGGCACGCATTTAAATGCTCCGTAACGTTCGCGATTATTCGGAGCACAGACTCAGGCTTACCGTGCCCCCACGGCCCTCAGGAGCCTCCCACAGCGTTCCAGGACGCCGCGGCTCCTCGCGCTGACACTCAATCTGTCTCCAGCTGACCTCCCGGCTTCAGATTGCACATCCCCACTTGCCCTGTATACACGCCGGGCAAACTGGAGGACTTAGCAGTCCCCGAGCGCCCACGGAGCCGCAGAGCACCCCCTGCACCCCGGCTCTGCTCCCTTCTGGCAGCTCTCCCCTCACACCCAGGCCTGGTGAGACTCCGCCGCCTCCAAGCCAACCTCAACTGCCCCATGAGCCCCTCACCCAGACCTGCGCCCACCCGCCGGGGAGCCCCTCGGAGCCCAGGGCTCACTGCGGCCCTGCCATTCTCCCGCCAGGCCTGGAGCTCCTTGAAGGCGCGTGCGCATTCGCTGCACTGGCACCATCCAGCCCTGCGTGGTCTGCTGGGTCAGACAGAGCTGTTGGGGGTCAGCAACACAGCCACCGCTGTGCCATGGCCGTTGGGCAAGTCGAGGCCAGAGGACAGGCTCTGCCAGACCGAAGGCCTCATCCTAGATGCCAACCACATCAAAACTCACGGTATAAACGGACAGTCTCCAGACCAGTCTATCTTTATAAGACACTGGTAATAAATATTAGAGGAGTGTGACTGGTAGTCCTATCCTGGAATGCCCACCTAAAAATCACACCAAACGTGGTCCTCATCGTCCCGACCCGTGGGGCTCGTCATGGCGCAAAGAGAAAGGTCGCCGGTTCAACTCCCAGTCAGGGCACGGGCCCGGGTTGTGGGTTCGGTCCCCAGTCGGAGTGTGTACGAGAGGCAACCAAAAAACCGTCGAGCTCCGGCTACATGTAATTCTCTGCCGGATCTACCATCCAAGAGCAGCAACTCAGACCTCAGTGGCTGGAGCATGTTCCTGTGAACAACCTCGAGCACGTGAGCCACCGCAGGACTGGACGGGATGGCACAGACGCCATCCCGACCCTCGGACTCCGGAGCCCGCCAAAAGAAAGCCACACCAATGCCCCCAGTGCCCGTTCCCAACAACAGAGCTAGCGAGCTCTCAGTAAACCCTGCAGGCAGTGACGTCACACAGGTGCAGGGGGTCAGGCGTCGGGCCCCAGAGTGCTCCCTCGGTCTCCCTCCGGGGCCCAGCTGTAACCTGACACCTGGGGCTCAAACCTTTCCCGCAGCCGCTCGGGGCTTCAGAGCCGCGGCAAAGGGCCCTTTCATGACCACTTTCACTTCAGCCACTCAAGGAGCGCCTTGCTCCCCGGGGAGAATGTCCCCAAGACATCAGTTTCAAGAGTCCCGAGGAAGAAGTGACAATCAAAGATTGTTTTCCATCATGTAAGATAAGCTCGAGGATACTCACTCTTGGGATGCCTGGCGGGGCCCACCAATGCTCGAACCGCCCAAGTCCCTTTAACCAGGACAAGTCCTAGGAAGCTAACTAGAGTGACTACGGTTCATTTAATTCGCTTCCTCGAATTGCACATTTAGATAAAGCAAGAAGGTAAAATTAAATGTTTGTTAGAATATATTAGACTACTCTGAAACATCAGCTCTTTCAATAAAAGGACATAATCAAGTCAATTCAGCCTTCTTGTTCCTTATTATCTGTTGCTTTTATTGAATAGAGATTTGGCTCTAATTAAATTTTTACTATACTTCCTATTGAGTATTAAGATACCTTTTGCCTGCAGACCAACGGTCCTCCGCAGAAAACAGTTCCACACTCTTATCTTACTCTCTCGAATCCAAATCCCAGAAAAGCAAAGTAACCAAGGAGAGTAAACCACACTCCTGCACCACCCCGGGGTGCAGGGGAGGGAAACGACCCTGCCAGGCTCGGAGCACCCAAGGAGAACACTTGTCACACGGGTAAAGTCATCTTCCTCACAGGGAAAAAACTTGAATCCAGCTTTGTGCGTCCCATTTTCCAAAACAACATGCCACACAAACAAAACCGTGCTGAGCACCAACAGCAGCCTGTGCACCGCCAAGGCTGGAGCCCCCGGAACACGCCCACTGCCTGGACTCCGAGGCTGATCCACACACACCCGGCGACTCACAGGCCACTGAAGAGGCGACTCACAGGCCATTAGAGTCTGTCAAGGACAGAGGGCTCTCTCCCTGGTCCTGCTCCGGGAGGGTTAGCCGTCCACAACTGCAAGGCTGCCCTGGGGGCCAGAAGAACTAACACACACAGAGGTCCAAAAGGCCTGAGGTGTGGACAGGTTCGAATCCCGTGCACCTTCCCTGCGCCTCTCCCCAAGCACCTGAGCCTTGCAAAATTGGCATTTTTACACTTGCACCACAGGGGAAAGTGGATAAAACGGCTAACGGTGCATAGTGTTTCTTCATCAAAGAGCCCATAAGATAAATGGTTGAGAAAGAGACAAAAAAATACAAACTTACTTTTCATAGACCAGCTCCTCATCGATGGAGAAATAGTGGATATTTACTGTGCTTTTTGGTCTATTCCTTAAAGTAGCAAAATATAACCGATCTGAAAGACAAGTTTAAAAGATGGGAGAAAACATGTGAGAAGGGGGGAAGCTGGAGGTGGGGGTGGTGACAATACACGGAAGATCAAAATAACCAAGGCGACCCATTATTTAAGGACCATTCACACGTGGGATTCTTGCAGAAACCTGATCTCTCCCAGAAAGGGACGGAGACGCGAGAAGAGCACAGCAGTCGGAGAGGCGCGCAGAGGACCCGAGTGAGGAGGGGCTCGACGCGGGGCAGAGCGCCCCGGCACCCTCGGTTCCAGCCAGCCGGAGCGCGAAGAAGCCGAGGGAGCGCTCAGAAGTCGAGGGGGGGCGCCTGGAAGCCGGGGGACCCGTAGAACTGGAGATGCAAGTTGGGTTCAGAAATCTCCAGCCACTGCGGAAGGGGAAGAGAGGCGAGCCTTCCCCTACGGCTCGGGGAATTGAGAAGAGGAAGGGAGGAGAGACAGCGGGGTGTGATGGAGGGCGGGGGGCGGGGGGGTCCCGAACACCGAGGCCGGTAAGACTGAGATAAAGACGACCTAAAGGATCCTCCGGTGCAGCAGCCCCCGCGCCCCCCCCCCGCCCGCCCCGCGCCTCCGAGCGGCTGCGTGCGGGAGCCGGGCAGAAGCCGGCGCTGTCCCGTGACCCGCGGGGAGGCCATCCGAGGGAGCTGCGGAGGGAACGAGGGACGCAAGAAAGACAGAGAAGCCGGAAGCAGGGGGTCCTGGGGGAGAGGACGGTGGCGAGGGAGGCTGAGCGCGCGCGCGCCAGCTGCAAGACCCCGGGGCCCCGGAGAAGCCCGGGTAGCGGTTGGGTCGTAGGGGCGACAAGTGAGGAGTGGGGGCCCAGGGGGATCGGAGGAGGCGGGGCGGCTGCTCCTCACCTTTCATGAACTCGCAAGCCCCGATTAGTTCCCCTGACTCCGCTGCCATCTTAAGCGAGATACGCACGGGGGAGGGCTGGGTCGTGGCCCGCTGAGGACACCCGCCCCCGGGGGCTTCCCCCCTGCCCTGGAGCCGGGGAGCCTGCAGTCCCGAACAGCGAGCCGGTCCGCGAGAGGCAGCGGGCGCCGAAGGCGGAGGCGGCCGGGGGGTCAGCGCGCCGGGCGCCCCGGGGACATTCCGTGGGGAACCCGAGACTGCTCCACGCGGGACGCACACGCCCCGGGCTGTGGCCGCTCCGACCGGGACCCGGCTGTCGCCGCTGCTCCGCCGCCGCCTGGCCTGGGAAACGCAGAGCCGCTCGCACGGCCGGGCAAAGTCTCCTCCCGGCTCCCAGAGTGATCATGGAGCAGCCGACTTCTGGCCCCGATCGCGCCCGTGGCTACTCGGCGCGGCAGCGGGGAGGACTCCGATGCCCGGGGCTGGCAGCGGCAGCCCCGACTCCTCCTTCACCGCCTCCTTTCAGCAGCAACTCTTCCTCCTCCTCCTCCTCGTCCTCCTCCCCCCGGGCCCGCCCCCAGACCTTCCTCCCCGCCCTCCCGCTGCCCCTCCACTTTCACGGCTCCGCGGCCATCCCTTAAAGGGACAGCCGGCTCCTGGCTCTGCGCGGCTGGCGCCCGTCACCAAGCGCCCCGCGGGGTCATCAAGAGCCGGTTGCTAAGGCTTTGTTGCCGTCCGCCAATTGCTGTGAGCGAAGCGGGGCTCTGGGCCCGCAGGAGCCGGGCACGGCCTCCGGACCCGAAACTTGTGAATGAAGCGGTGGGAGGTAGCGGCTGGGATGCGCTGCGTCCCCCGCTCTCTGCATCCACGCACCCACGTTCTTCTAAACTCTTGCACACACGCGCGCACACAGACCTCAGCTCTCCGTGCCCTGCCTCCCCTCTGGCTCATCTTCCAACCAACCCCCACCCCACCGCCGATGGAGGTCCGTCTGTATAAAAAATAAAAATGAAAACAAAAGTGCTACCTCCTAGCTCAGCTCTCGTACTGGTTTCCTCTACACAGAGTGGACTCTGATAGAACGTGTGCTTTGTTCGCACGCGAGAAAACGTTCCCATCCGGCCCCCCTCGTACTCTGATTTGGGCCGCCCGTGTGGGCGCAAAACCATCACAAATGCCCACCTTTATAGTAGGGGGCGGGGCGGGGCGGGCGAGGCCCCCCCGGGGGCGGAGACGGGTGAGGGCGACTGGAGCGGGCCCCCTGTCCTGTCGGGAAATTAACAAAAGAATGTCCTTCGGCCGTCTCGGCAGAAGCGCGCAGGGAGCGGGGCTCCTCCACAGAGGCCCTGGGCCTGTTTTTGAACAACTTTAATGCCGGGTGTCCCACGGACGAGCCTAATTAGGGGACAGACTCTAGCATATGAAAATGGCGCTCCAGACCCGTCGTCAGAAGAGCATGCGCTCTGAGTGGTTTCTCCAGAAACGGAAAGAGGTGGGCACCCGCGTTGGGATTCGCCGGGGCTAGTTTTACCCCTTGGGAGACAGGGGGCGCGCGTGGCAAGAGCTGACCCCAGGGCTCGGAGAGAGCGCCCCGAGGCCCACGAGTGAAGCTCGGCTCGCTGGCTGTGTGTGCAAAGAGCCGAAAAGGTACAGGAAGTGATGGGCGCATATTGCTTCGATGTTCAGAAAAAATGCTGAGACCATCTCATTGTAATCGAACACGCCCTAATAAGATTGTAAAGAGGAAAACCTACCCCCACATCCCCATCTTTAAGCTCTAAGGCAAGAATCGTATCAATTTAAAGTTGGAAGAATTACTAAGAGCTCCTACTGTGCCCCAATCTTCAGGTGAGGAAACACTGTTTCCAAAGAGTTTTTAAAATTAAAAGATCTGAAAAGAGGAGTGATAGTGAAGGTCCCACTCAGTTGAGGTGCATTCGGTGTTTACAGCCAGGGCCATGGCTCCGAGTTCTAAGAAGGGCAGTATCTCTCCAGCAGGCGTCTCACACAGTTAGTTGAGTTCTGCCTGGTATTTATAACCCACGAATCTTGGTATCGACCCCTCGTGGTGGTCAATTCAAATTAGGTTATTGAAAAATTCTAATTGAGTTGTTTATATGGAAAAGCCAAGTATTTGAATGTCTCAATAAACTTCCCACTTTGTTTGAAAGGCTAGGTTAATTCAATGATGGAGACCTTTTTCTGTATTTGCTGATTTAAAATGTGTGGAGCATCTAAATTTGCATACCAAATTTCCTAACCACCTTTCATGCCAGTTTTGTATTAGAAAAAGTTGGAGTTCTCATTAAATGCGTAAACTTTAAATTTCTCAAAGTAAATGACCTAATGAAAAGAACTCCAAAGGCTACATTTGCAGAAAAGGCAGATTTAATTGAACACCCTTTTGTTAATCCTTTAACTGGATTGACATAAACATTTTCTTTCATATAACTCTGCTCAGAAATTTTGGTCATGAGGAGTGAATTATGAACCAAAACAAACAGAAAGCCTTAAAATTAAGAACTCAAAATGAAAGGATTTCTTTTTTCTTAACATATTTATCATGTAAATAATATAATGGAATTTTTGAAGTTAAAATATTCATTTCAAAGTCTCTAAGTAATTTTTAAAATTTGGCATGAAAGGAAAGTGAGTGTCAGTATAACCAAAGCTCTTAGGCAAACTCTGCAGAATCTAAATGGTACGGAAAATTCTACAGGGAAAATTGTGGAACAAGACAATGCACACAGCGCATGCACATGTCAAGGTTCCGATGAGATCATAAAACCCTTTATTCTCTCAGCTTTCATGAGGCCAATGTTCCTACTGTTTGCAGTTTCATAATAAAGTCGTGATTTCACAGTCCAGGGAGGAAGATAATGGAAGAAGCTTCTTCTCAATCACCCAGCTTAATATAAATGTTAGGAATTTACTTTTAAACAACAAACAGAAAAGATGTTTCACACGTAAAGGAACTACTGAGAGAATTAAGATGCCACTCAACTGCAGAAAAGGGAAGCGATGTTACACACCGACATTTGACAGGTAAGTAGAGAAGGGACTCAAGTTTAACATGACAACCTTGAGCCTCCCTCTGCAAAGGTCCCGTGAACACTTGCCGGTGCCGCCCGGAGAGGCGGGCGGTCTGCCGCCTATGCCTGTGGCCTGCAGCTGAGCTAGAACACTCACAGCTGCAGGCAGCTCCAAACTATGTCCCCACCTCGGGGTCTAATGCTGCTCCTCAGGCTGTCCTGAACACCCTTAGTCACACTTAACATAACCACCGTCCAAAACTGCGCAGGCGGTTCCCTTGAACTGCTTCTTCCCTTTAGCCTTTCCCAGATTACATGCCTAATATTTTTCCCCAGCCTTTTCTTAAATGACATGGCTTCAAGCCCCTCGGCTGTCCAGTCATTCTCTTCTCGAATTTGTCCCGCTATCCCTCAAAGTGTGTCCCAGAACTGAATGTAGGCCAGTGGTGGCCTGGAGTGACCGGCTCTGATATCAGAAGAAAGCGCTGATGGAAGAGTCCGATAGGAACAAAAGCGATTAAAAAAAAAAAAACATAAAAGAACTAAGTTGTATTATTTAGCTGCAGGGAAAAAAAAAAAAGAAAATATCCTCTTGTCAGAAGAGGGCAAAGGGAAAAAGTTGCCCTGGCCTGATAGAGTCTAAGGCTGGATAGCTGTCATATTTACATACTGTATCTTTTTATTATAATCATTTCTCAGGATGCATCGTTAGAACATGCATTTTCAGTTCCTGTCATGATGATGTTATCTAAACAAACAAAAGAAAATATACAATACACACTTGGAATTCTCTTTAAAATTACTTTTCAGTTTAGGAAACAAGAACGATAGAAACCTGCACTCCTCAGTAATTTGAAAGTCAAAGTCATTTGACTTGTGTTAATGTTTGATCATTAATTCTTTGTATGATGCCCAAAGTAATTGAAAGCAGCTTTTTAGTAAAATAGATACGCAAAAAAGTTACTACAGGTACAAGAAGAATACCAAAAGTATCTAGTCAGTGCAGCTCGGTATCTAACGGCCACAGACACGAAGACCTCGGCCCGCGCCAGCCTTGCTCTGCAGAGCTCACACTAATCGCCGACGACGCGGTTAAGAATTCCAAGCCAGGATCAAAGACAGAGGGGGCAGAAGGGACTTGGAGATCAGCGAGCCCCAGTTTTCAAACAGATTCCCTGGAGCCCAAGGTAGCACAGGCCCCGCCTGACTGGGTTTTGCCTATTAAATATAGTCACTTGTAAAAGGCTGTGTGGCAAAATAGAGAAAAGGGAAAAGAAGAAGAAACCGAGGTCCATAGTGGGGAACTGATTTTCCAAAGTCACGTAGTTGATGGGCGGTAGAAACAAGACCGGCATTTATTTTCTGCCCTAGTACCAACAATCTTTTCTCAACTTTCTCCTAATTTAGCTTCTTTTACATTGTTTAGCTCACAGGTCCTTAAATGTTTGCGATGATAAAGTATCAAGTAAAATATACATGCACAATATGTTAACTGTTTTCTTCAAACTTTAAAGAAAATATCGAACTAATTTAAATTCAGAATGAAAAAAAAAAAAAGATGTTGCTTTATCCGCCATCGCTATTGTTGTCAGGTGGCTTCTGTAAAAACGTCAACTATTTTCCACCGCTGTGAGTCGTCCAGAGCATACCAGCATTCTACAGAAGAGAGTTTACGAAATACTGGCTTAGTGAACATCAAATGAGAGGATCAATAATCCTCTCATTTTTGACCACTGCAGCCACTAAGGAATGATGCAGTTTTAGAAGGTCAAAGACAGTTCCATAGCCAGGTCAGCATACTTAATAATGCTCAATTATAGGCCAGTGTGTTACATTTTTCAAACAGGCTAACAAGTCCGTGCACTTCCTTACATTTACGGATTGTCTTCATCTACCTTTCTGTGCCACCGCTGCTCTGTTTGGGGACTAAAGAAATGGACCTTTGAAAAATAACATCCCTCCCCCGACTCCTAGCCCCGTCACCACGTTGTCAGCTGCCGCCCCCCACCCCCCGCCCCCCGCCCCCCACCACCCTCGCCCTGCTGAAAAGCGTCACCAGTGAGCTCCGCGGTTCAGCCTTGGAGTCCGTTCCCTGTTGCCGCCCCCATGTGCGTTTTATACATGCCCCAGCCATGCTTTTGACATATCTCCATCAGGAAAATAACAACGAAGAGTCCGGGTGTGTTGCACACTGAGCGCTACAATTCCTATCTCAGCCCTCGCATCTGTTGCCCGTCAGGGAGGTACTATTATTTTTCCCATGTGACTGCTGAGGAAACCACCGCAAAACAGATGCTCAACAAGTGTTTGGAGCAAGAATCAATAAATGAGTGATTAAAATACTGGGAGATGAGCTTATGTGAGTCACTTGGGTACATAAATCAGTTCCTTGGTAGCCTGGAGTCATGGGGAAAAAATACGGGATGCTTAACCAGAAGCTCCAGTCTTACGCATCCCTCTCAGCAGCTGCACGAATCATCTTAGGCCGTTTC